TTGGCGGTGAGGCATGGGGGTCTGCGGGGGTCCGGGCGGAGCCGGGCAGGGAGCCCGTTGGACTATCGGCCTGAGGCTGGATGGTGGTGAGGGAAGGATATGGGTCATGGGGGACAACGAGGAGGGAGACGGGAGGGACCAGGGCATGGACTTGGTGGCCCCTGCCCTCTCAGGCGCGGTGCCCGCCACGGGCTTCCTGAGGCAGAGCAGCATCAATCTGGATTCCCGAGGCTTCATCCCTGTCAACAAGGTGGGGCTGGGAGGGGTGGGCAGGGTGCGGGGCTGGGGGTGGCAGCAGGTCCCGCCCAGGCCCCGTCCCACCCACAGAGCCCTGGGTCCTCTCCCCACAGATGATGCAGACCAACGTCCCAGGCGTGTTTGCAGCTGGCGATGCTGTCACTTTCCCCCTGGCCTGGAGGAACAATCGGAAAGTGAACATCCCACACTGGCAGATGGCTCATGCCCAGGGTACGACCAGCCCGGTGGCAGGACGGGGAAGGGGGAGATGGGGGGCAGTCCCAAGGTCTCAGCTTCTCCCTGCCCCCCCCTCCAGTTGTTGGCCTTGGGTCCTGGGTCAGACTTTCAAGGCTCTGTGGTGGCCTGTCTGACCAGCCTCCTCCAGGTGATGGAGCCAGCTGACCGAGCAAGCCCTGGGGCCCATCCAGAGACATCCTTCCTGTGCCCTCAGGACACCCCATCCAACTAGCCACAGCCTCCCGCCCCATCCTTCCACCAGCCTCTCCATTCCTTTTGTCCTCACCAACCTGTGCAGTCACCCAGGGAAAGAGAAAGGGACGTAGTAGGATACGGGCCGCCTTCCCACTCAGTGTTTCTGTCTCCCTTGGGCCACTCGCTCCGTGAACCCGATCGCTTCACGCAGGCCCCTGGAAGGCAGCCATCTGGGCCTGGAAACTGGGCTCAGTGGGGAACTGTTGTGCTCTCTGAGGAATCCCCCCACCCCTTAAGTCCCTAAAGCCTCACTTACTATGCATACCGGGTCTGGGTCCCTAAGAGGTAGGTGCCAGCAGGTGGGCTGCCTTCAAGGGGAGGATCGATCACCAGACTCCCCGCACTCACCTCTCCTCTCTGGCCTCACATTACCTCAGCATCTGCTGCCTGAAATCCCATTTCCGGTATCAGTTCTTGTTCAGGTCCAAGGTCTAACGTTGGTGCTGGCTTTAAGGAACCAAAGGCTGGCCACTCATCAGCCACGCATCACTGAGGTTTAACTGAGAGGGTCTAGGGACTCACGCACAGCCAACTACGGAGTCCAGCGGGCCTCGTGAACCGGGAAGCCGCCCACGCTATTCTCTGGGGCCCGGGCCTGGCTGTCCTCTCTGCTTCCCCGGGCACTCGTGCCCGTTCTTCTGCCCTCCTCATACCTGATGTGTCTGATTAGCTGTGTGCACACCTGAAGTGGCGCGCAGCCCCCACAACCCCAGGAAGCCGACCTTCCCGATCTGGGGCACTTCATTTAGATTCTTAGAGAAGCGACCTGACTGGCTTTGAGCCAGGTGTCCCCTCCGCACCAACCACCTGCAATCGACAGTGGGCAGCGGGTGATGGTGCATCTTTTGACCTCGGGGTGGGGGGTGCGGGGGTGGCGAGGAGGCGGAGGAGCCCCAGAGAGCCCTTGAGCAGGGAGTGTGGGGTGGTGCGGGCTAGGGTCGGGGCTCTCACGACCCTGGGTCCCACAGGGCGGGTGGCGGCCCAGAACATGCTGGCGCAGGAGGCGGAGATCAGCACCGTGCCCTACCTGTGGACTGCCATGTTCGGCAAGAGCCTGCGCTACGCGGGTAACCGGGGGCGCCGGTCAGGGGCGGGGCCCAGAGCACTCGGGGGCGGGGCCTCGCCCCGGGGATGCGGAGGTGGAGCTTGGAGGGGAGGACGGGCCCTGAGCATCCTCGGGGGCGGGGCCTCGCCCAGCGGAGGGAGGGGCGGGGCCTCGCCCAGCGGAGGGAGGGTGGGGCTTGGAGGGGAGGGCGGGGCCATGAGCATCATCGGGGCGGGGCCTCGCCCTGCGGAGGGAGAGCAAGAACTGGTTGGGGGCGGCACTGAGAACCACCTGAAAGGACCGAGGGAGCGGGGCCGGGTGGAGGGCTCGGGAGGATTTAGGAGGGCACAGGGCGCTGACCCGGGGGAGCCCCATCTCCTGTTCGGCCCCCAGGGTACGGAGAAGGCTTTGACGACGTCATCATCCAGGGGGATCTGGAAGATCTCAAGTTCGTGGCTTTTTACACCAAGTGAGAGCAACTGGGTGGAAGGCGGTGAGGAGCAGCGGGAGCTCGGTCGGGAAGGGGAACTCCTCCCAGAGGAGCCCTGCTCCAGAGGGAGGGGACCTGCCCGATAGGTCCCCGAGTGGCCCAGGGAGGCAGCTAGACAGGAGACCCTCCACGGGCGAGTGAGGAGGTGGGGTAGTAAGGAGTCCAGCAGCCAGGCGTGGAGGCGGGACATTCTATCTTCAGGACAGCTCTTTGAGGTGGGTGTTGTCCACTGGCACTTTTACACTGAGGAAAGTCACACAGGTAGAAGTGATCCCAGGACTGGAGCTCAGCCCTGAACTCCCTAGAGGAGGAAGGGTAGAGCCTCCGTGGGCCTTCTGCAGGATCCCCTTGGTGGGCCAAGCAAAGCAAGGAGGGCTGGGGGCTCAGGAGAGCCCTGTTGTCCTGCGTAAGATCCCTCCCTGGGCCCCAGTGGAAGAGGAGTGCATCAGGGTCTCCAAGAAGGAAGGCCACTGCTGGGCAGCCCTCAGGCTCAGGTACTCTGTCCCTGCAGAGGCGATGAGGTGATTGCTGTGGCCAGCATGAATTACGATCCCATCGTGTCCAAGGTGGCTGAGGTGCTGGCTTCCGGCCGGGCCATCCGAAAGCGGGAGGTGGAGTGAGTGTGGGCTTCAGAGGTCTGGTGGGTTGTGGTGGGGAGGTTCCCCAAGGGACTCGCCCTTGGTTGCCATCCATCCCCATAGCCCTACAGAGCCCTTCCCCTATTCTTGGTCCACATCAGTCTATGGGGCATCAGGACTATGGGGTGGTGTGGGGCAAGGGCTGTGGTTGCAAATGGGCTGGTTATTTGTGCTCTTGTGGGTTAGAAGGACAGGGCCAGTGCTGTGCGGAGGGGTCAAAGCCCTTGGTCAAAGCCACTGCTTGGGCAGTCACTTGGCCTGGGACACCCAACTGGACTTGGTTGTGTTGGGCCTGACAGAAGCTGGGGGTGGTAGTGGTGAAGGCAGCTAGTGATGCCTCTGGGGACACCCTGCACAGAGATGTTGGGTAGTTGTTTGGGGTCCGGGGGTGGGGGGACACTGGATGTCAGCCATTACCCTCACCCCAGGATGGTGCCAATGCAAGTCACCCCGTGGGCTCAAACTGCCTACAGAGAGGTCCCCTCCCCCTGCCCAGAGACTGGGGAAAGCTTGGAGACCAAGGGACAGGAGTAGGCCTCAGGCTGGAAACAATGGAGAACCAAGAGGGAACATGAATGACATATTCTCTCCCCGGCCTTCTCTGTCTCTCTCCCTCTTGCCTTCGAAAAGGCTGTTTGTGCTGCACAGCAAGTACGTGGTCCTCTGTCCTTCTTGTCAACCATTCTGAGCCTTTCCCACCTCAGCCCAGAGCCTGTACCCCCATGGTCTTCCCCTTTCTGCTAAGTACCCATTCTTGCTGGGCACCAGGGCCTGGCACAGAACGGGCCTCCTGTTGTCCTCAGGGATCACCTGTTCATGGTGCTGAGTGGGTAACCTGCTGTCTTCTACCCTGACTCCTCCTCCCCTCATTCCTGCAGGACCGGCGACATGTCCTGGCTCACAGGGAAAGGATCCTGAGCTCGCATGCAGCAGACTTGGGCAGGCACGCTTGGGCACCAGGGACAGGGGCCAAGCCCTGGGGGCAGGTGCCAACCTCCAATTTCCCAGGATCCCCCAGAGCAGAACCTGAGCCTTCCCAGTGCTTCCCTTTGGTTGCCTGGCTCACCTCCAGAGGCTTCTGCTGCCTCCAGGAGATGCTTACTCCCCGAGGCCTCAGCTGCCACTGATGGCTGGCAATCCAGGCAGGACAGGCCTATCCTCTTCTCCCTTTTTTGAGACTGGTCCCCTGCAGGACCCTGCAACATATTGGATATTATCTTAAAAAATTAAAACGCACACATTTGCAGATCTGTGTGACTTCCATTGTAATTGGACAGACACTCATGAGGGAGAAAGCACAAGCACACAGTGCTCAGCGCCACACCAAGGAAGTTTGGTCTCTGAGCACTCTCAGAGGAGATAGCAACTGATTCTGTCCCTGGGGTTAGGGAAGGCTTCTCTAAGCAGTGTCTTGGATCTGGATTTTGAAAGAAGGGCACTTCAGGTAGAAGGGACAGCACGTGCCAAGCGTCTGAGATGGGAAGTGCTTCCTCGAGGGTGAGAGGCAGCTCGCTTGGCAGTTTGGGGGCATGTGCCTGCTTAGGGCAGTAGGGCCTGGGTCCTGAGACAGAGCCCATGCTTTTCATGGCAGCTAGTTCCCTGAGTCCCCACTTTGCAGGGGAAGAAAATGAGGCTCTGCCATTAAGTAGAAAGGAGAATCTAGAGCCTCTCATAGAGCCAAAAGGAATACCACGGGGAGACGCGGCAGCCAGAAGTGGGGGCGCAGGGCTTCCTCCTAGGTCGCTGCAAGCCCGGAACCCTCCACCCGGGATCCTGGGGGCGGCGGACGGTCAAGGCCGAACCCCGCGCAAACAGGGCATGCCGGGAAGTGTGGCCCCTCTCCCGCAGGCGTGGGCCTGGCCGGCGCCGGGGAAGTGCATTCCGGACGGGGCTGGGGACCCGACGCCGCCTTCCCTGGAAAGGGGCAGCGGCCGCGCGTACTGGGCGGGAAATGCTTCCCAGAGAGTCACCCGCTCCCAGCTTCCCGGGGGTGGCGCCGGCCCGCGGACTCAGGAGGAGCGCTCAGCTTGCCGGGAGGGGCGGGCGGCCGAGCGGCGCAGGCCGGAAGTGTGGCGCGGTCGGCACAGGGCTCGCCGGGAAATGTAGTCCCTCGGGGCGGCCCGGGGCGGTGGCTGCACGTCCCGCGTACCGGGTGGCTGATCAGGCGTGGACCGGGGATGGCTGGGCCGGGGGGCTCGGGAGGCCCGATCGGGGCCGGGGCCCTGGCGGGCAGCGCACGGTCCAAGGTAGCCCCGAGCGTGGACTTTGACCACAGCTGCTCTGACAGTGTTGAGTACCTGACACTCAACTTCGGGCCCTTCGAGACAGTGCATCGTTGGCGGCGCCTCCCGCCCTGCGACGAGTTCGTGGGGGCCCGGTACGGCGGAGTTGAGGGGGTCTTGGGGACCGGGAGTGTCTGGGAGGTCCCGGGGAGGGGCCCAGGGGCGAAGCCAGGGCGTGGAGTCCAGCCCTGGGTCCTGGCAGTGGGGGTTGGGGAGGAAGTGATGGTGCCCAGGAAGATGTCTGGAGCGGAGGGGGTGTGCAGAGGGCGTCTCGGGGCGGGGTGGGGCCCGGGGCAGGTACTAGAGCCAAGTGGTGTTGGTGGGTCTGGAGCTGGGGTCCCAGCAGCTCTGCAGTGGGGCCCGGAGTCCAGAGAGCCCCCCGGCAATATCAGGGGTCTGTATACAGGGTCCTGGGGTACTGGTGGAATTTAGGGACCTCTATCCGTCTTAGCAGTCGAGAGGTGTTACCTGATTTCTACGGCAGCCCGCGTGCTTAGCCTCATTCCTTGGGCGCCCCCAGGAGGGTCCTGACCTCACTGCCGCCCACCCATTCTTTCTTTCAGGCGCAGCAAGCACACAGTGGTGGCCTATAAAGATGCCATCTATGTATTTGGTGGAGACAATGGGTGAGTGAGTATGCATCAGGGTGTTAGAACGGGAGGAGGGAGAAACATGGTGGTTCCCACTGGGTTGGTGAAGCATTCAGCCTCAGTTTCTCCATGTGAGGTTCCCTCCCTCCCTCAGAACAGCGTTCAGTGGGTAACACATGATGGGACACAGAAATGTGCCTCTTGTTCTGAATGAGTGGACACAGCCTTGAAAGAAACACATTCGCCCTGGCCGCCACCCTCACCTGGCACTTCTCCTTCACTGCAGTTCTCTTTGGACTTTATCCACATGCTCACATGGCAGCATTTAGAGGGCACAGTTTTTTGTTTGTTTGTTTTGTTTTTAATTTCCCATATTTTCCACCTTTTTGCAAAGGTGTTCCCACATTGCCATAAATTCCTGGGAAACAACTTTTCTGATGTTTTGTTGGTGGACACACTTCTATCCCATGAACTGTTCCCACTTAAGTGGTGGCTGGTCTCCTTTGGTTAAAGATAATGGCTGAGGTAAACCTTTGGTTTGGTGTGACTGCTTCCTTCTGGTGGTGTTCCCCTAAGACCCATTCCCAGAGGGAAAGAGCTCTTATCACGGGCTGGGCCATGTTAAGTACAGGGCGTGGGCATAGCAGACATGCTTGGAGAGAAGGGGTCTGTTCTGGGCAGAGAAGCCTTCCTGGAGGGGTTGATGACCTGAAAGATAAGTTAGAGTGAGTCAGGTAAAAGAGAGTGTTTCAGGCAGAAGGACCAGCATGGGCAATGGCCCGGAGGTTGGGGGATGCAGAATGGCACCAGGCCTAGAGTCTGGACAGGGCTTCCCTCCCGCATTCATTCGTTGATGTGGTTCAGGAAAGGCCAGGGATGCCCACCAGGGCTCTGGGAGGCTTGGGAGCCTGCTAGACGTGGGGCTGAAGCTTGAAGCTTGATCTGGATAGACCGAGCTCAGTTCAAATTACAGCTTTGTGACTCTGGGCTCCGGTTGGTGGCTTAAATCTCCTCCTCTGTATAGGGGGTGCCCGCATGCTCTGCTTTTGCAGTGTGCTCCTCAGGTTCAGTGAGCACAAAGCTGGGAAGGGCTCAAGACAGACGTCTGGCTGTCCTGCGGATGCAGCGTTTGCACATGACCGATTTCTACCCATGAGTCCATCCCTGCCTCTCAACCACAGGACTTGGCCTGAAGCCCAAAAAGGGCTGGCCTCTGATCGGTTCTGCAGCCATGGTCTTTCAGGACTCCCTGGGGGTGAGGGAGCTAGCTTGGAGGTGTTGGGGTACACAGGACCCCACAAGGACCTGCAGACCAACAGTGTGGTCTCCTTGGGCATGGCCTCTGGCCTCCAGCCTGTCTCCCCAATAGCTTCTTTCCCCATGAGCAGCCAGAGGGACCCATTTGAAGATGCAAGTCTCAGTGTGTTCCTCCTCAGCACATAGCCCTGGGGACTCCCCTCCCTCTGCTGTCCTGGCAGTCCATAAGACCCTTTACACTTGCGCCCGCCCTGCTTTTCTGCCTTTGTTTTTTTTAAATTTTTTTTTAATTTTTAATTTATTTATGATAGGCACAGAGAGAGAGAGAGAGGCAGAGACACAGGCAGAGGGAGAAGCAGGCTCCATGCACCGGGAGCCCGACGTGGGACTCGATCCCGGGTCTCCAGGATCGCGCCCTGGGCCAAAGGCAGGCGCTAAACCGCTGCGCCACCCAGGGATCCCTCTGCCTTTGTTTTGCACAGCACTGGGCTACACCCCTGTCTTGCTGTGTTCTGAGTGAACCAAGCATCTCCTGCTCAGGCCCTGGTACTGGCTGTTCCCTCCTTCCCGCCCTTCCTGCCTCTCTTCTGAATATACTGTGAGTGAGGCCCTCCCGGCCACCTGGACCAGCTGTAGGCCCTCCCCTCCCCTTCTGCACCTCTTGCCGGCCCCATGGTAAGAGCACTGATCCCACAGATTCCCTCAGAGTTATCTCAGAACACACAGATGTTTATGTGTCTCCTCCACGAGGGCGAGACCTGTACTGGGCACAAGACAATTCAATAAATGTGTGTCACGTGAAAGAATGAAATAGGAAGAGGCATCTGCCCACAGATGCTCCCTGCTGTCTTAATGACAATCTTCCCCAAACAAGACAAGGCCTGGTGTCCAGCCCAGAGCAGGAAGTGGGAACATCCCTCCCAGAGTTCTGTAGCAGGTAGAGTTGGCATGGCAACTGTGTAGCAACCAGCAGAAATAATTTGCTACAATGTGGCACCAAGAAACAGGGTACAGATTTGTCTCACCCTGGTTGCAATTTTGTAGAGATCCACTGGGTGCAGAGAAAGACGGCTTCCTGCAGCGTCTGGGAGGGGGGAGGAAAGGAGGGGGGAAGGAGCAGATGGGAGAAGGGAGAAATTATGGTCACATCTCGGCTTCCCAGCTCCTGGCCGCATGGCTGCATGGCCTTCGGCAGGCACTTTATGTCCCGGGCCCCTTCCTCTTCTGCAAAGCAGGTGGAGCCCCTGGTGCAGACTGAGGGAAAGGTAGAGGGCGGTGCCCTGTATAGGCCTGGCATGCAGGGGGTGCTGGGCTCCTGTTGGCTGGCTCCCTTCTTACTGACTGACAAGGTCTGAGTGGAAACATGCAGGTCCTGCTAGGTGGTCACTGGACTTGTTTTTCATTTGATTGTATCTTTTTTTTTTTTTTTAATTTTTATTTATTTATGATAGTCACACACACAGAGAGAGAGAGAGGCAGAGACACAGGCAGAGGGAGAAGCAGGCTCCATGCACCGGGAGCCTGACGTGGGATTCGATCCCGGGTCTCCAGGATTGCGCCCTGGGCCAAAGGCAGGCGCTAAACCGCTGCGCCACCCAGGGATCCCTGATTGTATCTTTAATGTGGTTACATTGGCTTTGCAACAGGGAGGTGGAAGGAAGATCAGAGAGGAGGAAAGGGCCTCCCCTGAGATCTGGGAAGTTCTGCATTTTGGTGGCACAACCTCAGGAAAGGAGGCTCTGAGATATGGGAGTGAGAGTGGGAGTTGGGGTTCTGGAGCCTGCCTTGGTGTGAGTCCTCAGGGCCACCTCCTGGTTGGCCAGGGTCATGCTTTGGACCCGACTGCAGGCAGGCCAGTCCCACGTACCTTGCAGCCCCGGTACCAGCACCAGCTGGGGAGTTTCCTCTGTGGTCACCTCTCTCTCTGGTCCTTTGGGCATCAGCTGGCTGCCTGGCCCTGGCCAAGTCCCCACAACGGTCCCCACCCCTGGGCTGCAGTGTCCGATCGGCCCAGGACCGACCCCACCTGTCCCTGGCTGTCTTTCAGGAAGACCATGCTCAATGACCTCCTGCGGTTCGACGTGAAGGACTGCTCCTGGTGCAGGTAGGTGGCCTCGGAGCTCTAAGCACCTTCCCCCTAGAAATCGGTAGCACTGTGCCAGGCCCCAACCACCAGCGGAGTCATGCTGGGGAAAGCTAGAGAGAAGCTTCAAGGAGGAGATAAAAGTGGCCCTTAGCATTCCTCTCTCTCTCCTGGGTTCCTTCTCCAGTCCCAACTCCAATTATTCTGAATCCTGTTAATTACAGGCATGTGTTTCATTGGTTGCAAGTCCTCAAATTCTGCCTCCGGAGAGCCCTTCCATCACTAGGCCTGTCTCCTGGGCCAGGGGCTGCTATGGGAGGTGACACAGGGTGGGGGGGCGTCGGCTTGTGGGTCCTTCCAGGACCGACCCTGTGCTGCTGTAGGATGCTGCCCAGGGGCTGACAGCACTGGCTCTCCTCCCCTCCGTGCCCCTGTGGGGCCCATCCTCTGCTTGGAGACCCCACATGGGTAGTGGGCAGCACGCAAGCCCTGGCCACCTCCCGCAGATGGCCCTCCCAGCTGTGTGGCCTTGGCCAAGACACCTGCCCTCTCTGCTCATGGCATACGTGTACCCATCGGCTCCAGTCTGCAGCCTGCCCAGGGGGCAGCTCTCAGCTGAGGGGGTGAAAAGGGATCCCAGGATTAGGAGACACTGGGTTTCCTCCTGAGCTCTCCCATCTGCTCGTGCAGGAGTACAGACCCATGCAGCCACCTGGCTGCCACGCTCTGCACAGGAGCTCTGGTGTAGCCCTCAGTCCCCCGAGTCCCCTCTGTGGCGGGGTCTCACCGCTCCTCTTTGGTGAAGGAGGACATCCAGACCCAGGACCCACACCCTCCAAGCCTGGCAAACCAGGGTGGCATCATTGTGCACCACCCACCTTCTGCTCAGGAGACCTCCGTAGCTCTGGGATCACGAGAGAAGTTTTTGTGTTGTTCGTCTCACCCTGGGTTTCATAACATAGCCCATAGTTATGGATCAATTTTAAAAATCACCCTACAAACTGTACAATCCTTTACTAATGATTGCTTAAGGATAAAACTCTGAAAAGGAGCAGCCCCAGGAAAGCAGTATAAAGGGGTTTTTAACTCACTAAGTCAAGTGTGTGGCTGACCCCTGCGGATGGAAGCCAGTGCCGCCGTGAAAAGGACAAGGATAGCTGATCCCGGAGTAGCCGGAAGACCTATTCACTCTCTACTGTTTAATTCAAAAAGCAGGTGTCATAAGATACCTACCACATGACTCCACTTAGAAAATTACTCAGAAAAAAAAAAAAAGAAAATTACTCAGAGACATAAATACGCATAGGAAAGGTGTGTGGAGGAGTGACCTAAAGGCATAGATGGTGGTTTCTGGCAAAGGGATTATACGGAAGTCTCAGTGCTGGTTTTGTGTTTTTTCCTTATCAGCAACTTTTGTTAAAAATTTCTATAATGAGGGGGCACCTGGGTGGCTCAGTCAGTTAGCGTCCGACTCTTGGTCTCAGCTCAGGTCTTGATCTCAGGGTCATGAGTTCCAGCCCCGTGTTAGGCTCCACGCTGGGCCCACATGGAGCCTACTAAAAAAAAAAAAAAAAAAAAAACATAAAATAAAGGTTTAAAAAAAATCTTTTCTTTTTTTAAGTTTCTCTAATGAGATAAGTATTGCCTACCAGATGCAAATATAAAAGGAATCCTGGGCGGGGGTGGGCTGCCCAGTGTGGCGTGGACTGCACAGCTGAGCCCCGCTGACACCCGCTGTCCCGTTTCCCCCCACCAGGGCCTTCACCACTGGCACCCCACCAGCCCCCCGCTACCACCACTCAGCCGTTGTCTACGGAAGCAGCATGTTTGTCTTTGGTGAGCTGCCTCTCATCTCCTGGGCGCCGTGCCCTCTTTAGGGCTCCAGCTCCCCTGTCCCGCCACCAGGCCTGGGGCTCCTGTGCTGTGCATGGCCAGCCTCTGTCCTGCCTTGTCTTCTGCCAGAGTCCTCTGAGTTCCTGCACTGGGCCGGGGGCCCCTCAAGGGACTCGTTCCCTCATTGTCCCGATCTCACGGGGTGACTGCTCGGGAAGGTGACTCTCCTCCCTCCTCTGTCACTCTGCCAGGGGCAGGGGCAGGAGTCTGTTCACTTCTGTGTCCCCAGAGCCTAGCACAGAGTCAGGCATGCGGTAGGTGCTCCCTGAGGCTTAGGGAGGGAGTCCCAGAGTACATCTTAAGTGAGGCTGGATTCTGCTCCCCCTGCCTTTGGGTGTGATGGTTTCTCGCTCTCTCTACCCAGGGGGCTACACTGGGGACATTTATTCCAATTCTAACCTGAAGAATAAAAACGACCTTTTTGAATATAAGTTTGCAACTGGCCAGTGGACAGAGTGGAAAATTGAAGGACGGTGAGAGACTTTGCTGAAACCTTTGGGGGGTGTCCCGATGGCTACGGTGCTGGGTCCCTGGTGGCAGCTGGCCTGCGATCTGGACCCTGTAGCATTACAGGAGAGCCCGAGGCTCAGGGAGGCCTGAGTCGTGCTCATTCCCAGCTGTGACTGTCTGAGGCCTCCTCCCTGCTCTTGGATTCCCTGCTCTCAGAGAGCAGAGGAGCCCCGGTGCACTGATGGGCCCTTCTCTGGTCCTGTTTTGCCAGGACCCTCCCTCTCCCCCGACTCTGATATTTCTGTGTTGGCTGGGAGAGGCCTTTACCCTGGGGACATGGGACATCTGAATTCCTCATCCCACTGCCCCGCCTCATGAGCCCAGCCTCATGACCCCCAGCTGGCATCCCCAGAGCCCTGGTGTTGGCAGATGTAGGCATGGCAACCCTGGGGTCCCGGCCTGCCGCTTGGGGCTGTGAAGCTCGGGTCTGTGCTGGGTGGCCTCACTCCTCACCCCCTCCCCGTGCTGCAGGTTGCCAGTCGCTAGGTCTGCCCACGGCGCCACGGTGTACAGCGACAAGCTGTGGATCTTTGCTGGCTATGACGGCAATGCCAGGTAGGTGGTGCCCGTGCACCGGCCTCTGGGCAGCCCTGTAAGTGTACCAAGGGGGGCCTTCCTGGCATGGGAAGGCTCAGGCTGGGGGTTTCTCAGGAGGGTAATGTTGTGGACAGGAGTGAGGGGAGGGTGGGATGGAGGTGGAGGGGAGCTGAGTGGAGCTCCCACCCAACCCCACAGCCCTGAGGCCCCTCCTAGGGGCATCCGAGGGGGCGGCAAGCTTGGCCCATTTTTGTGCCGCTGTCTCAGAGTGTGCTGGTCTCCACGGCAATAGGTGGCCTAGCTGGTGTCAGAGCTGGGGGAGGGGAGTGTGCGTCTGAACTGCCCAGGTGAAAATACTCAAGCTCAAGGTGAGCAGGTGGTGGCAGCACCAGGGCTCAGATTCGGCCCCTCCTCTCTGGACGACAACATGGGGTTTCTGCCTACGTAGCATGGACTGGATCTACCTCCTTCCTATAGAAAATTGGCTTCGCTGCATTTTTCTGGTTACAAAAGTAGCATGTGCTCATTCCCTAAGATCTCAGCATTATAGAAACTCCAAGGGGTGGGGCGCCTGGCTGGCTCAGGTCTTGGAGCTGTGAGTTTGAGCTAAGTGTTGGATATAGAGATTACAAAAAAAAAAAGAAAAAAAAAGAAGCAGCAGCTCCAAGAGGTGGCAATGTTTCTGGGAGCTTTGCCTCTGAAGTCCTCTCTAAGCCCCAGGGGTGAGCCAAGTGAGACTGACCCTGCCACACTGGTGAGACATTGTGAATGATGGTGCGTGTTCCCTGGGCGGGGAGCTGGGGGGCCACATAGCAAGGGTTCAGTGCAGCCCCCGACCCTGAACCTCCCACCTCATGGCTGCTCCCCAGGCCCCCATCAGAGTCCTGCATGATGTGTCGTTCCCTGGAGCCGTCCCTCCTGGCTGGGCCTAGCCCACCCTGCCACCATTCCCAGCTGTGGAGATCCTGACACTTGTCCCTCCATGCCTCCCCCCCCCCCCCCCCCCCGTCCTAATGCAGGTTGAATGACATGTGGACCATTGGCCTCCAAGACCGGGAGCTCACATGCTGGGAGGAGGTGAGGGGCACAGGGAGAGGCGATTGGGGGGCAGGGGAGGCCGGGAGGTAAGGGGCACAGGGCGGGGGGCTGGGGTGGGCGGGGGTAGGAGCTGCTTTTTCCCCCTTTGCCGAGGCCAGGCCTCACCCTCCCTGCTGACTTCCTGCCCAATTCCAGCCGCACTGACCTAGTACTGGCGAAAGGCTCTGGGATGCCTGGGTAGCTCAGGGGTTGGGTGTCTGCCTTTGGCTCAGGTTGTGACCCCGGGGTCCTGGGATCCAGTCCTGCATCGGGCTCCCCACAGTGAGCCTGCTTCTCCCTCTGTGTCTCTCATGAATGATGAATAAAAAATAAATAAATAAATAAATAAATAAATAAATAAATAAATAAATAAATAAATAAAGGCTCTGTAGCTCAGATGGCAGCTGGTCCTGGTGACTGGTGCAGCCTGGGTACTTGTGATTTGAGCACAGCGAGCTCAGCCTGCTGGTGGGTGTCCTGCTCGCTGCCGTTTCTGGCCAGTCGATCTGACTGCCCTGCCGTCTTTCCCCTGGGGTGTCTATCCCTGGTGGTGAGGATTCTTAGCCTCCACTGTTAAAAACTGGGCCCATGGGATTCCTGGGTGGCGCAGCGGTTTGGCGCCTGCCTTTGGCCCGGGGTGCAATCCTGGAGACCTGGGATCGAATCCCACGTCGGGCTCCCGGTGCATGGAGCCTGCTTCTCCCTCTCCCTGTGTCTGCCTCTCTCTCTCTCTGTGTGTGACTATCATAAATAAATAAAAATTAAAAAAAAAAACTGGGCCCATTTTTAGGTGGGTGAGGTGGGACTTTAAGCTATTCTCCAGGAATCAATCTCTGAAACCTCATTCACAGAAGTTTCAGGAATGAAAGTAGTCCGAGTTCAGCAGTGTTAAGTCTGAGCCCCGCGCCCGGGCCGGGGCCTGTGGCTGAGCTTCCTCCCTACTTCAGGTGGCCCAGAGCGGCGAGATCCCGCCCTCCTGCTGCAACTTCCCAGTGGCCGTGTGCCGCGACAAGATGTTTGTGTTCTCAGGGCAGAGCGGAGCCAAGATAACCAACAACCTCTTCCAGTTTGAATTCAAGGACAAGACGTGAGTGCCCTGGTGGTGGGACGCATGGTGTGGAGCGGTCCTCTGGGCTCCTAGCGCGGCAGGAGCTGCCCTTCCAGAGCGGGGAAATGCGGGCACCCCCATGCAGACCGTGCAGGCCGGGCCCCTCTCTCTGCCCAGTGCGAAGGATGGCTCCTGCCCCTGCGGATGGCCTGGTCGGTGCCACTGGTAACGGATGTGGCCGGCGTAGAGCTCATATGATGCAGAAGACTGGAGGGGTGCTCATGACCTGAGAGCATCCAGCCTATGCCGTCCTTGGCTGCTGGCCAGCCCTCGTGATGGGGACTGAGCCCTGGAGGTGGCACAGGCGGGGCATTGGCTCTGGGAGTGAATGGAGGGGATGGAACAGGGAGCTTCTGCAGGTCATAGAGGCTTGGAGAGGGGACTTGGAGCTGCCCTGAGGGCCAGTGGTGTCGGCTGGGAAGGAGAAAGGTCAGTACATCCCAGGCAGGGGGAGTCCCGCTGACACCCGCCCAGGCCTTCTGTCTCGGGCTGGCCGGGCCTGAGAGAAGAGCCACACTGCACACAGGCCTGTGTCTCCATCCTGGCCTCGGTGCTCACGGCGGGGGGGCAGTAAAGATGGCTCAGAGCCAGTAGGAAGAGACCTGGAGAGGTGAGGGATGTTGGAAGCAGAGGCCAGGTGTGCCCAGATGTGGGGAGGGGTGGGGGTAGACATGCAATCTCTGGCCAGGTGGAAGGTGGCTAATCTGTGCAGGGTTCTCGGGGAGGTGCACGTACTGGGGGAGACACAGGGCCCGGGGGTGTGGGGGCTCAGGAAGGTGCATTGAGGGAGTGGAGGGCTGCAGCATGAGGGACCCAGGCCAGAGCCGGGGGCAGAGCTGCAACTTGGGGCAGAGTGGACAGGGGTAGGAAGAAAACCAGGGGCAGTCTGGCCACAGGCAGCAGCTCAGGCCGGGTGTCAGGAGACCGCAGTGGCCCCTGGCAGCAGAGGAGCCCCAGGGGGTGGGGTCAGTGTGGTGCCACCTTCCTCAGGCTGGCCTGCTTCCAGCCCCTCAGACAGCCACCTGCCCAACATCATGCCTGTGCCCTTTGCTCCCCCGCCCCCGGAGGTGGAAACAAACACCCTGGCCTTCTCTAGGCCGTGCGTAGGTGCATGCTGTGGGCCTTGCACGGGTGCCACCCCCAATGACGGCACACAGAGGCTGCTGCTCTGAGGTGCTTAGCACTGAGGTCTCCTACAGAGCACCTCCACCTTACCCCACCCCCAGATGGGCAGTCAGGGCCCCTGCCTTCTGGAGGTGGGCTTTGCCCAGGCAGGTCTCCTGTGTGCTGAACAACCCCCCGCTGCCGCCCCAGTAGTAGGGCAGCAGGGCACCCGGTGAGCCCAGCATGTGCTGGGTACAGGGGGCAGCGTGGAGCCAGATGGCATGCCTGCCTGACCAGGATCGTGTGGGTGTCAAAGAGAGGATGTGCTGGGAGGTCCTGGGAGGGTAGAGACTGTAGAAGCAGCATTGGAAGAGGGGGTCCTGGTAGCTCCCGGGAGTGAGGACTTGGCTGTGGGGACTATCCCACATGGCAGAGTGTGGGCATGCCTCCATTCCCCCGAGAGTGGGATTGCATCACGGTACAGAGGCCACCCCTCCTGCCTGCTTTATGGCTGGGGGGCAGAAAGGGGTTCAGGCAGGACCCCATGGTGGGCTGAGTGCACCCAGGCCGAGCAGGTACCAGAGCGAAAGGGGATGAGGGGCACTGGGTGGATGCGCTGCAGGCCCTCCTTGGAGCCAGCTGTTCTCCCCGGGGGCTGCAGGGCTCTCCCCTGCCCGGGCCTGCTGTTGGAAGGCCTCAGAACCCGGGTGGAGGCCTTGGGGGTGCAGGACCCCCCACCCTAGCACTGGTTCACTGTCACGTGCCCCCAGGTGGACCCGCATCCCCACCGAGCACCTGCTTCGTGGCTCCCCACCGCCCCCCCAGCGGCGCTATGGGCACACCATGGTGGCCTTTGACCGCCACCTCTACGTGTTTGGGGGCGCAGCGGACAACACGCTGCCTAACGAGCTGCACTGCTATGATGTGGACTTCCAGACCTGGGAGGTGGTCCAGCCCAGCTCGGACAGCGAGGTGAGTGCTGCCGGGCTGCGGTGCCCGGGGGGCCAGGGGGTCCTGACTCACCTGCTCCCACTGCCCTGCTGCTCCTCACGGCCTCAGAGGGCCCGGGGCTCCGCACAGCCAGCAGGAGCCAGGCCAGGATGTGTGAGGCCCGAGGCCCTGGGCCCCTATGCTCCGTCCTTGCCGCCTGTGGGCTCTCAGCATTTCCTTTCGCACGGTGCTGCACGTCTGCACGGTGCTGGGGGTGCTCTCCCAGGCCACGCGCCCCGACTGCGGCCTGGCCCAGCCCACACCATGCGCAGCCCCGGGTCAGGGTCAGCAGGAGCTCGGCGCCGGCCCCGCTGACTGTCCCACCCGCCTGCCTCTCCCCTCCAGGTCGGCGGGGCTGAGGTGCCCGAGCGAGCATCGGCGTCCGAGGAGGCGCCTGCGCTGCCCTCCGAGGAGCGGGGCGGCTTCAAGAAGTCCCGGGATGTGTTCGGACTGGACTTCGGCACCAGCACGGCCAAGCAGCCCGGCCCGCCGGCCTCCGAGGTGAGGGGGGCGCCTGGCCCGCTCTGCATCACCCCCGCTGCCGGGCCCTGAGGTCGGCCCCTCTCACAGAGGGGAGGCTGAGGCTCAGAGGAGTGCGCATCCCCCCCTTCTGCCCAGCTGCCCAGCGGAAGGCTCTTCCATGCGGCCGCTGTGATCTCAGACGCCATGTACATCTTCGGGGGGACCGTGGACAACAACATCCGGAGCGGGGAGATGTACAGGTTCCAGGTGGGCAGGGGGCAGCCAGGGCGGATGGGCCCCGGATGATGGACACTGAGGCCCAGCGTGGCAGGAGGGCACCAGAGTCAGGGTTGCATCTGCTGGGACTCTAGGCGGGGGCAGCAGAGGAACGTCAGCACAGGCTGGGGGGTGGGCAGCCTCCGGGGCTCGCGGGGCTGGGGTGCTTGGTCCAGAGGAGGCCAGAGCCCGGGCCGGTGGTGGCTTCCCTTGCCAACACTGGGTGTCCTCTCGCAGTTCTCCTGTTACCCCAAGTGCACGCTGCATGAGGACTACGGGCGGCTGTGGGAGAGCCGCCAGTTCTGCGACGTGGAGTTTGTGCTGGGTGAGGTGGGTGCCCTCCCTCGGCCTGGCCTGCCCGCATGCTGCACGGTGGAGGCCGTGCCTCCCACTCCGGCCTGGAGGCCCCGACCCCCTCCCCTGGCCCTGGCTGGCTGGGCCTCCATCCCTGCCAGGACGAGGGTCCTGTGCTCCCCACTGAGGTGTTGCTATTGCTGCAGAAGGAGGAGTGCGTGCAGGGCCACGTGGCCATCGTCACGGCGCGGAGCCGCTGGCTGCGCAGGAAGATCGTGCAGGCGCGGGAGCGGCTGGGCCAGGTGAGGTGCCGCCCGGCCCCGTCCAGCCAGGGCAGCGGCGCCTGCGGACACCCCTGAGCTCCCCTTTCTCTCCCTGCAGAAGCTAGAAGAGGAGGCAGGCCCGGCTCCCAGGGAAGTCCCTGCTGGGGCCGTGGGGGGGGCCCGGCTGCCCCTGCTGCGCGTGGCCATCCGCGAGGCCGAGGCCCGGCCCTTCGAGGTGCTCATGCAGTTCCTCTACACGGACAAGATCAAGTACCCGCGGAAAGGTGCGCTGGCGGGGGAGCCGGGTGGACGGGGTGGGGGGTCATCCCGAGGCTCGGGGGCCATGGCCGGCCCGCACCCCGTGTGGTGGAGTTGCTGCCTAATGTCCTCCAGGAAGGGAGCCCCCTCCTCCCTTCTGCCCTGTGCCGCACCTTCTCCCCCTCCCCACATACCTGAGGCTCAGGGAGCTCTTGGGCGCAGGCCACGTGGAGGACGTGCTGCTCATCATGGACGTGTACAAGTTGGCTCTGAGCTTCCAGCTGTGCCGCCTGGAGCAGCTGTGCCGCCAGTACATCGAGGCCTCTGTGGACCTGCAGAACGTGCTGGTCGTGTGTGAGAGCGCTGCCAGGCTGCAGCTGGGCCAGCTGAAGGTGCGGCTGGGGGTGTGCTGCCCACCCCGCCCTGCGCCGCCAGCCCCCGTCTGCCGCCAGCCCCCCCAGGGTGCTGCCAGCCCCCACCCCGGGCCGCTGCTCTCTGCCACCAGCCCTCCTTCCGCTGCCAGCCCCCGACCCCAGGCCACCGCCCTCCGCCGCCAGCCCCCCCCCAGGCCGCTGCCCTCCCCTGCCAGCCCCCACCCCGGGCCGCTGCCCTCTGCCACCAGCCCTCTGTCTGCTGTCAGCCCCCCACCCCAGGCCGCCGCTCTCTGCCACCAGATCCGCCCCCCTGTCCTCTGCTGCCAGCCCCCCGCAAGCCATCCCAGCCCGGCTGCCATCCTGGCCAAGGCCTGACCCTGCCTGCCTGCTCGGCTTGTGTGTCCCAGGAGCACTGCCTGAACTTCGTGGTGAAGGAGTCCCACTTCAACCAGGTGATCATGATGAAGGAGTTCGAGCGCCTCTCCTCCCCACTGATCGTGGAGATCGTTCGGCGGAAGCAGCAGCCGCCTCCCCGCGCCCCCTCAGAGCAGCCCGTGGACATCGGTAGGGACCTCGTCCCCAGCCCTGAGGGCAGCACACAGGGATGGCATTCATCTTGGGTGGAGACTTGGGAGCCGCCAAAGTACCTGCCTGGCCTCGGGGTGGCGTAGGGGTGCAGGGGCCCTGTAGTGCTCCCCCTGTAGTGCTCCTGGGCACAGGGGCACGGGCACTCAGTCCACTCGGGCTCCCCCGACCCATGGGGTGTCCTGCCGGCTGTGTGGCTGAGGGCGGGAATCTCCTGAGCCCACTTCTGAGGTGGGCACAGGACCCCTGCCTGGCAAGGGGGGCCGCCCTGACCGACATCAGGTTTGAGGGCTTCCGTCGGGAGCAGCGTGCTCAGTCGTTGAGCTGCTCTTCTAGGTGCGCCCACCCTTTGGGGTCTAGTGAGGGGTACATGCAGTCCAGAGATTTCGGACGTTCCTGGTACCTCCCTGTCCCCACCCAGCCCGGGAAGGGACAGCACAGTCTCCATCCCCTGACTCCCTGGGGCCTGTGGTGCCTCTGGCCGTTGGCCCAGAGTGACACGTGGCAGGGCAGGGTGCTTGCCAAGCCCAGACGGGGCTTAAGCACCAGGGTGGGGAGGAGGGCTCACTGGGCTGAGTTGGGGAGATCAGACTCTGGGGGGCGGGCCAGAGTAGGGCTGCTGGCCTCTGGGAGGTTTTTTAGGGCAGCAATATGGGCAGATGAGCAAGAAGCGGTGCCTGTGGAGCCCTGGGTCTGAATCAGATGGCTCAGAGTCTGCTGAGGGGCGGGAGGCGTCTGCTCAAGGTACCCCCCCCACTACCCCCTGGCCTCTCCACCAGGCACGTCTCTGATCCAGGACATGAAGGCGTACCTGGAGGGAGCAGGTGCGGAGTTCTGTGACATCACTCTGCTGCTGGATGGGCACCCGAGACCGGCCCACAAGGCCATCCTGGCCGCTCGCTCCAGGTGGGTGGGGGTGTGGTGGCAGGGAGGGCAGGCCCCAGCCCTGCCTGCACTTGCTGAGAGCCAGGACTCCACCACCCTGTCTGCAGCTACTTTGAGGCCATGTTCCGGTCCTTCATGCCGGAGGACGGCCAGGTGAACATCTCCATCGGGGAGATGGTGCCCAGCAGGCAGGCCTTTGAGTCCATGCTGCGCTACATCTACTACGGGGAGGTCAACATGCCGCCGGAGGACTCTCTGTATCCTTGGCCCCACCCTGGGAGGTGCTCCCGGGTCACCACTGGAGGTCCCAGGGCTCACCTTCCACCGCTCTGGAGACTGGCAGGCTGGTCCTGGCTGGGCGCTTTCCCAAGGATTTCCTGGTCCCTGGTGCTCTCCCAGGGTTCCCTGAAGCAGCTGGTCGGCAGGCAGAGAGGGGCTCACAGCCAGGAGGGGTGGGTGGGTGCTTGACCCTCACGACCCTTGACTCCACGCCCAGAGGAAGGGGTCGATCTGTGTGCTATGTGACAGGTGAGTAGATGGCCATGGAGTGATTCCTGGTCACATTGCTTGTTGGGGGTCTGAACTGGGTGCAAGATGTCTTTCAGGCCTCTGTGAGGCCATGGTTGGTTCTGGAAGTGTGCATATGGGTGTTTTCCTGGGTTTTCGTTGGGTCTGGACTAGGGCCTTCGATCCCCTAAGTACTTCACTGTCCCTTGTAGAGAGCAAGTCAGTGTCCTGATTAGATCGGTCCCTGGCGTTGAGGTGGGTTTCCGGGTTCTGAGCAAGCAGCAGGCGGCTCAGGTTTTCTCCGCCCCTGCTGGGCCTGGGGCTCCAGCTGCACCCTCCCAGGGGAGATGGCGGGAGGACACGCTCCTCTGGGCGGCAGCTCCTTAACCAGTCCCCAGCTACCTGTTTGCGGCCCCCTACTATTACGGCTTCTACAACAACCGGCTGCAAGCGTACTGCAAGCAGAACCTGGAGATGAACGTGACTGTGCAGAACGTACTGCAGGTAGCTCACCTGGAGCCCGCGGGCCTCCCTGCACCTGGGCGGGTGGGTGAGAGATGCAGCAGCGCCTCAAGGAACCTGCCGTTCCAGATCCTGGAGGCGGCCGACAAGACGCAGGCCCTGGACATGAAGCGGCACTGCCTGCACATCATCGTGCACCAGTTCACCAAGGTCAGGGCCCTCCCCACCCAGCACCTGCTGCCTGCCCTCTTCAGGGACCCCTTCCCCTCCACACTGGCCTTGGCCAGGCTTGGGGGGCCGGGGTGGAGTCTGTCTCCCGCAGCAGAGCATCCCCCTCCCCGCTGGCCGCTTGGGGTGGCCGTGCCCTGGCGTGGTTGAGCCTACCCCGGCCTCGCAGGGCTCCAGGTCTATCCTGTCCCGGCCCCTTGCCCCCCGCAGGTTTCCAAGCTGCCCACGCTGCGCTCGCTGAGTCAGCAGCTGCTGCTCGACATCATAGACTCGCTGGCCTCCCACATCTCCGACAAGCAGTGCGCAGAGCTGGGCGCCGACATATGAGGGTGCACATGGCGCCAACCCCCTCCCCCCTGAGGAGCACGACCGTGCCGGCCCCTGCCCCACCTGCCACAGATGATGCTGGCAACGCCGAGGCCTGAGGCAGAGTCGTCGGGCCTGCCAGCCACGGGGCAGGGGGCCCAGAGCCTCTGAAGGGAGAGGGGCCACAGGGTTCTGAGCGCCCCCTTTCACTGCTGAGGACACACAGGTCCCATGGGGAGCAGATGGTGAGACAGGCCCCCAGGCAGGACCCTCTCCCCAGCTGGAGGTATGGGTGGGAAGGCAGGGCCCAGCAGTGGGAGCCCACCCAGCAGGGACTGTCCCCGGCTTGTCCATCTGGCCACTGATCCTACTGCCAAGGCCCGTCTGACCTGGGGGATACACAGTACCCCCTCACCTTCACTGAGGTTGCTGCAAGGGCCCCTATGATCACCCAGAGCTTGTGGGTGAGCAGATGGAATCGGACTCTGGGTGAGCTTTGGGGTGTGGAGGATCGTGAGTCAGTTCCTAGCCTGAGAGGTTAGCCATTCTGGCCTAGACTTGGCTTCCAGAGGGGTTGTAGGATCCCACCCCACTGTGTGCACATCAGGGGCCCCCAGCTGTGCCAGGAAGAAGTCAGGGAAGGTGCCCCCTAGGTCCCCATCTGTTCCTAAGTATTTATTTTTTGTCCTAGACATGCCATAAGACGACAGTAGTGCTAACCCACTACACACACCTCACGGGTATGGTCCCTCCCTGAGCGGAGGATCGATCATGTAGTCCCAAGTGCTTGCAACCAGCCAGTCCTGTCCAGTTCTCCATGTCAGCAGCTCCCAGCCCCATCTGGGGTGACCCAGTCATGGGAAGGGGAGGGTGTGGTGGGAATCCAGGCTAGCCCCTTCCCTCCTGAGGGGAACCTTGAGGTCCCCAGGCCACCTTGCTCCTGCACTGCAGGCTCCTGCCTAGGCTGGGGCGCTAAGGACTGGCCACTGCATCCTTCCCCTCCCCCAGCAGAAGGCCCTGTGAGCCCACCCTAACACAGAAAGCACTCTTCTGCCTCCTTTCTGGCACCAAGAACCCCAGGGACTCTTCTGTCCTGGCTACCAGGAAGCTACGTCTGGGGACATGGCACCTACCATTCCCCAGCCCTTCCTGAACACGGGCAGGTGTCGTGTATAGACAGATGGGAGCCCCAGCGACAGGTGGGCACCCTCAGGCTAGGGGAGTGCATAAGGCCGCAAGCTAGGAAATGACCTGGCACAAGATGAGCTTCTGGGGGCCTGGAAACTCCAGGAAGCATCTGCAAACCCTGCCCTACAGTGGACCCTGTAACCGGTCGCTTGATTCTCCTAAACATGAATAAATGAACTTACACACCGAGGACCCCGGAAAGCCAATTTCAGAACACTGCGTGGAACTTTCCAGGACTGGCGACAATTCCGCTATGCTCTAAGGGGCTACAGTGGCTGAGGCCCAGCAGGGAGGCCACGTGTGCAAGTAAAACCACCCTGCACACCGAGCTGTTTGCCACAGCCACAGATGCGGGGAAGCCTACGTTCCAGTCAACTTGAAGAACTCAGGCTGAGGCCAGGATTGCTGCCCTTATGGCTGCCTCCAAGCTCCCCTACGTCTTCCCAGAGCTCTGGGGACTAGACTGGTCATTTCTGGGTGGGCCCTTACTACTTGCCAAGCCTATAGCACCCGATCAGAAATTGCCATCTTTGTCCGCTTTCTAGATGAGCCAGCCCGGTGGTGAAGGGATGGCTGGTGTTCAGGTGCTGCACCCTACTGACTGCTGGGCAGATTGTGCCAGCAGATGGAAGCCACGCAGGTGTCCTCGCAAACTGCATCTGGCCTGGGTTTCATGAATATTTTCAAAGGGACTAGACTGCTTAAGCCTAGGCTGCTTCAGGTACCAAGGAGAAGGTTCCTGGCGCTGGCCCTGGCCTGTGCTCACATCATCCTGTCCTTCAGAGAACCTGTGGGGCCTGGAGTTGCATGAGGCGGGGGCGGGCAAGAGCCAGACTTCCTGCTCTCCACAGCGGAGAGCTCGGAGTCCAGGGGAGGGACCCCAGCCCCAGCTGAAGCAGATAGTAGGGCCTCCTAGAATCCACTTTATTATGGCATCTGGCAGGTCTGGTGGACACAGCTCAGACCGGGTCCCTTTCCAGGTGGATTCTGAGGGAGGAAGAGCCCGAAGCCCCGGGGCCAGCAGCCCCTCACTCATGCCATGCTGCTGCTCAGCTGCATGGCAAAGTCCTGCACGTGCTCCTTCAGAGTCTGGCGGGCATCGGCCTGCGCCCGCTTCTCCCGTGCCCGTTCCTGCTGCAGCTTGCTTAGCCGGAGCCGCAGGCGCTGCTCTCGCCGCTTGCAGGCCTGCAGCTGGCGCTGGGCCTTGTCTAGAGCATCAAGTGCGGCCTCAGCCCGCCGCTTCCAGAGCAGGGCGCTGCCCACCTGGTAGCTGTGCTCATTCTGGATGTAGGCACCCGCTGGGGGTGGGAGGCGTAGCATATAGGCTGAGGGTGACACGGGGCGTGGCTCAAGGGGGGACGGCTGTCTCTCTGGCTCCCGCTCTGGTGAGGGCTGGGCGCTGCAGCCTGCTTCATCTGCCTGGGCACCCAGGGGCCCCAGGAGGTCTGAGAAGGGGCTGCTGAGGCCAGCCTCCAACCTCCCAGTGGGGGAGGCAGGCAAAGCAGCAGGGGCTGATGCCTCTTCCACAGGAAAGCAGGTGACATCAGCAGGTGGAGGTGGAGAAAATGGAGTCGTGGGCCCCCGGCTGTCAGAGCATCTGAGAGGAGAGAGAGAGAGGGAGAGAGAGACTAATGGGGTGGGCCAAGGCCTTGCCAGACCCCAAGTCACCAGCCCATCAGAGTCCATGCTGCTGGCTCTGAACCCTCTTCAGCAAGACTGCTGACACCTTAAACACAGCCCAATCTTTCAGACTTGATGTGGGAGCAGGGCACCCTCCACCCACAGCACACATACCGCTTCCTGCATCGCCGGAGCCGGCTGACGTCGGGGGGGCCAGGTGGGTAACTGTGTCCCTTGGTCTTGGTCGTCCGGCGTAGCTTGGAGAAAGACTCAAATATCGTGGGAACCGCCCCCTCCTTCAGCCTGTGATACCCACTGTAGGGGAAAGCAGCCTGGATGAGATGGACAACACATACTGCCACCCGGGGCCACCTGTGGGGCACAGAACTACCAACCTCCAGCACCCCGAATCAGGCTTTCCCATGCTAGTGCTGTGGGAGGTGGGTAGGCATGTTGCAAGCACGTAGCTACAGGAATGCCAAGGTAGACAGTTACACCAATCTCTTCCCTGCAGGACTCCTCACAGTTAAGAACTAGGCTGACCAGCCAAAAAGAATGATTTCGTTACGGACTTGCTGGCAGGACTTGGGCTGCAAGGAACGGCCTCTGAGAAAGCTTGTGTTTTTCTGCCAGTGGCACAGTCATCCCGAGGGGATGGGTCTCGCGGTCCCTGAGATACGAGGCTGGGGAGAGGCAGCCATGCTGCCCCCCAGCCAGTGACTCAGGAGCCTCCTCTCCTGGCCCTGCAGCCGCCCCCAGCGGCCAGCTCCTCAAACCCCGCCCCGCCACGGCCGCCGAGGAGCTCACCTGATGCCCACCAGCTCAAAGCAGTTCTCCTCAAAGTGTTTGGAGCAGAAGTAGATGTACTCGGAAGCCGGGTCCCACAGGCCCTGGCCGCTAGGGTCCAGCCGCTGGCAGTTGGCCAGCCACAAGCCTCGCCTCGGGTTGTCCTTCTTGGGAAGTCTGCGGAGCCACAAACCAGTGAGCACCAGGGTGCCCGCCCTCCGGGCAGCAAGGGCTGGCCGGGCACCCGCCGCCACCTGCCAGGTCCAGGCCAGGAAACAGGCCTCAAGGAGAGCAACTTCCTGGGTATCACCCGGCAGGTAAGGGCCGGAGGGCAGAGGCCCCAGGCCGGCGGGCCGCCCGCGCCACCTTCCCGTCTAGAGCCGGTCCTACCGGCACCGCCCCCGTCACCCCTTCCCACCTACAAATACAAGCCTCGCGCCAAACAGAGGAAGGCGCGTGCGCAATCGTGGCTCCGCGGAAGAGGGTAAAACGGGCGCATGCGCACGCGAGCCTTCGCGTGCCTGCACGCACGCGCGCTGACCTGTGGAAAGAGATGCCGCGGTTGCGCGTCTCGCGCGTGTCCCGTGTGCAGCAGCCGGCGGCGGAGCAGTGACGCGGCATCTGGGAAAGAGGCGGGAGCTTGGTCGTGGGCGGCTGTCCTGGCCCAGAGGGGCCTCGCGCCCCCAGCCGCCGCTCCGCGCCAGGCGGCCCAGGCCTGCCGGATCTCCCCCGGCCCGATCTTGCCCGAGCCCCGTCCCAGCCCGTTCTCCTGACTTCCGTCAGCGGCACTCACGATCTCGCCATTGCTGCGCCGCCGAAGTCTCGCGAGGAGTGGCGCACGGGGGAAGTTGGTACCATAGAGACTCGGAAGAGCGCGGCGCGCGGCCGAGGGGCGGGGCTGGCCCCGGAAGCGGCCCGCGCCTCAGCTCGCCAGGGGGGTGCGCCGTCCCGCACGCGGTCCCTCTTTGTGTTTTGGTAACACCTCGACACCCAAGGATTCGCCCGGGACCCACGCTGGCTGCAAGAAAGGAGCTCCAGCGAGAAGAAAAGGGGGTCAAGATGCGAATCAAAAGGACCTGACAGAGTCCAGGACCCACAGCTACTCCGGGAGAGGTGCCGGCTATGGGTGGGCGGGCGGTGGCCACTCCCCACACTCCGGAAAAATGTAATGGGCAGAAGGCCTGATTGTAATTCCTTCTGGCAGGGAAGCCGCTCCATTAGTGCCTAGGGGCACCTGGGTGGCCCAACCAGTCGAGCATCCTGCTCTTGGTCTCAGCTCAGGTCATGACCTCAGGGTCCTTAGATGGACCCCCTGGGCCCATGCATTTGGCTTGGGAGTCTCCGTCAGCCTTCCTCTGCCCCTCCTGTTTGTACTTGGGTCTAAAATGAAAATGAATAAACCTTTTAAAAAAACAAACAACGGCACGTGGGTGGCTCAGTTAAGCCATCAGCCTTCAACTCAGGTCATGACCTTGGGGTCCTAGGGTCTGGCAGGAGTTGGGACTCCTTTGCTCCTCCCCCCTGTTCATACTCCCTTGCTCTCTTAAAAAAATAAAATAAAATTTAAAGCAAAGCCCCCCAAAACAAAGACCTTGCTAGAAACAGGGCCTCAGTAAATGAGTTTGCACTGGGGCAGGGCACACAAGACTGAATCAAAGTGGCCATTCCACAATTTGGAAAAACAAACCAGGTTACAATTCCATTCTCCAAAGGAGCATCAAGAACTACTGAAAGATTTAAGAACAACCAAAGCAATTTTCCTAATACCCTCAGCCATGACTTTTGAAGCCTTCTTCTAGGATTAATGTGGTAACTAAACATACAGATATGCTTAATTTTTTTTCTGAAAGGAAACCTGTTTTTTCCTCCCTGGAAATCCACTTGGAAAAGACAGGGATCTGGATCAGAATTATGTCAAAGTGCAGGACAAGGTACACGATGCTTCAAACAGAAACTTTAATAGGTAAACCTATCTCGTAATGTTATAGTGAGGGCGATACAAAGAGATGGTTGCCAGCTCCGCTCCGGTCAGTATTCTTCCCCTTCTTCAGCCTCTGCTTCCACGGAATCCACGCCCACCTCTTCATAATCTTTCTCCAGGGCTGCCAGGTCCTCCCGGGCCTCGGAGAACTCCCCTTCCTCCATGCCTTCCCCCACATACCAGTGCACAAAGGCTCGCTTTGCATACATGAGGTCAAACTTATGGTCCAGGCGGGCCCAGGCCTCGGCGATGGCGGTAGTGTTGCTCAGCATGCACACGGCCCGCTGCACCTTGGCCAGGTCACCCCCGGGGACGACAGTGGGGGGCTGGTAGTTGATGCCCACCTGCCAGAGAAAAGGAAGAAAGCAGTCTGTGAAGCTTCAGTCAAACCCAGAAACGGTGTGCTTTCATGCAAACAGGAGACCTGCAGGGGCCTTCTTTGTGCCAGGCAAAGTGTCAGGCGAGCAGGGTGCTGGTTTCTAGACAAGGACAACAGGGAAAAAGGGGCCAGCCAGCCTGGCTCGGTTCCAAGCTGCCTGAAGGGCTGTGTCCCAGCCTCTGAGCCACGTGAGGTGCTCAGGTAACAGGATGGTTTCTTCTAAAAAGGAATAATGCTTTGTATGCCTTAGATGGCATTTTCTCCATAGGATTCTACAGACGAGGATTCGTTGCTGTAGCTGAAACCTCTTCTGCTCGAGTCACAGCACTATGGTTTTATTATGAGGGGAGATCATCCTCCCACCCCGGTCTCCCATTGAGAGAGCTAGCCTGTGAATCCAGGACAACAGGATTGCTGTCAGAGGTCTGAGGACTGCTGCTACCACTGCAACAGGAGGCGGCCTAGGTGTGCTAATAGGAGAAAGGGGGTGATAATCCAGGGCTGGGACCAAAGGAGAGGCATTCCAAATTTCTAAACCAGGGGACAGAGGTTTGAGTAGCAATACACAGGGTCACTTAGAACGTCAAGGGCAAGACAGTACATATTGTAGGCTGGCGGGGCCACATGGTCTCTGTCACAATTACTTCAGTCTTTGTAGCACAAAGCAGCCACAACAGCACATCAATGAACAGGTGTGGCTGTGTTCACATGAAATTTATGATGGAAAGCCTTGACAGGGCTTAGTATTTAAACTATGGACAAAGCTGCAAAGTGACATCAAGTTTCCTATCCCGTATCAAATGGAAGGTGGCTACAAACTATGCTGGAGGCAAACTCAGGTCAGACTTGCTAAGCTTACCAAAAGAGAAATAAATATGGCATCATTTTTTCCCAAAAACATGACAGTTTTTCTCTAAATCAAACATTGCATGCGATATTTAGATTGGGTTTAACTTCTATGTGCCAGTGGAATGAAGTGTTTAGCGACAGCAATGTTTGTATTAATGCCCCAATTTAAAATATCCACATAAATTCTCAAAATGCTTCCAAAATTTCTGCATTTCTAAACCCAAACTACATTTTCCACACAAATTAACCACCCAAAAGAGGGAAAAAAAATTGTTCTAAAAATTTCCTGTTTGAAGTTAAAAAAACTTCTCATCACATATATATAGTGTGATAACTAAGGAAGGAAGTTCAAAAGGCCCCACTGAATAAATTATCACTCGGGCTCAGATGACCAGGGGCTGGCTGCCATGGATCAGGGTTTTCTCCACAAAAGGCCTTCTGTACTTGGTCGGCTGCCCCTGACGGGAGAAACCTCACATCATCACCCAGTCCTACCTTAAATCCAGTCGGGCACCAATCCACAAACTGGATGGTGCGCTTGGTCTTGATGGTGGCGATGGCCGCGTTGACATCTTTCGGGACCACGTCCCCCCTGTACAACATGCAGCAGGCCATGTACTTGCCGTGCCGAGGGTCACACTTGACCATCTGGTTGGCCGGCTCGAAGCAGGCATTGGTGATCTCGGCCACGGACAACTGCTCGTGGTAGGCCTTCTCGGCTGAGATGACCGGGGCGTAGGTGGCCAGGGGGAAGTGGATGCGGGGGTATGGGACCAGGTTGGTCTGGAATTCTGTCAAGTCCACGTTCAGGGCCCCATCGAATCGCAGGGAGGCCGTGATGGAGGACACAATCTGCCCGATCAGACGATTGAGGTTGGTGTATGTGGGCCGCTCGATATCCAGGTTGCGCCGACATATGTCGTAGATGGCCTCGTTGTCCACCATGAAGGCACAGTCGGAATGCTCCAGGGTGGTGTGGGTGGTCAGGATGGAGTTGTAGGGCTCCACCACGGCCGTGGACACCTGGGGAGCCGGGTAGATGGCAAATTCCAGCTTGGACTTCTTGCCGTAGTCCACCGACAGCCGCTCCATGAGCAGAGACGCAAACCCAGAGCCGGTGCCTCCCCCGAAACTGTGGAAGATGAGGAAGCCCTGCAGCCCCGTGCACAGATCCGCCTGAGAGAAATCACAGACCGAGGGTCAGTGCCGCTGGGGTAGGAGCCGCACCGCCAGCCTCTGATGAGCCACAGTCTTTCCCTCTGCAGGACACCACGCATTCAAACTGTCCACAGGGCACCCGTGTGATGCTCAGAAGCAAAAAGCAGGGCAGACTTTAAGACGGATGGGTGACGGAGGAGGCACTAAAGCCACACGTGAAGGAAGACGTGGACTCGAGATTCCGGCCTGGGGTTTTGTCAGTCATCTCCTGGCCGCCATCCCTGCCCACCCTCCTGTCCAGGGCAACACCCACAAGAAGCTTCCTTAGCGCCCTCTTACCAGTTTCCGGATCCGGTCCAGGACCAGGTCGACGATCTCCTTGCCGATGGTGTAATGGCCTCTGGCGTAATTATTGGCTGCGTCCTCCTTCCCGGTGATCAGCTGCTCTGGGTGGAAGAGCTGCCTGTAGGTCCCCGTGCGCACTTCATCTGCAAAGAGGACACGTGGGCCGTCCGTCTTCAAGGCCTGTTGTTAACTCGCCAAGGGGGATAGATTCGGGGACGCTTTGGATCTACCAAGCACATGCTGTTCCTTGGGGGGCAGCAGCATCAGGGTCTCATAGAAAATGTCTGTGCAACATGCAGACCACAGCTGCGATCTATGGCTCTAGTAGGTCACATCAACTGGAGATACCAAGTCCAATCTGACTGGTCCCCAAAGAAGGGAAACCACTCACACCCTCACCCATGGAATTATTTCTTCAGATCTGGAGCTACATCCAAGAGTCTAACTAAAAAATCCCTTACATCCTGGACAGTCACCAGGTCAGCATGACTTTGCCAGGCAGTCCCATTGAGGTACCCTACGTGGCCTGTGCCTCACAGACTTCAGGGTGACACTGTCTTCTCCTGGGTGGCCACTAAAGGTGCTCTCTCTTTGTAGCTCTCCCTGGGAACCACCTCAGGCTTCTAATCTGCAGGATCCCAACGAATCTTCTCCAGTTACCTTCTATGTCTAAGATGCAGGTCAAGACTCTTGTGCACCTGCATCAGATGTGTGCAGAGTCAGGGTGGGGCCGGTGACTGGGCACCCTGCAGGTGGGGTCTACATAGCCACCCGCCTGGCTCTGAGGCGGCCACGAGTGAATCTAGTCCCAGCCCATCTTTGTTCTGTACTTTAGGTTCTCCTAAATCAGGAGCCTCGGTGTCAAGGACACTTTAAGCACTAACCCCGTGGTTTCTCACCTAACACAGCCATGGGCATATACTTGTACATCCCATCCTTTCTGTAGGATTCGAAGGAGCCCAGGGGACATGGATGGGGCTTCAGGGAGGCTCCCCCACTCTCCCAGCAAAGCCGTCCAAGTGGCTCAGGACCTACCGACCACGGTGGGTTCTAGGTCCACAAACACTGCTCTGGGCACATGCTTGCCAGCCCCAGTCTCGCTGAAGAACGTGTTGAACGAGTCATCCCCACCGCCGATGGTTTTGTCACTTGGCATTTGACCATCAGGCTGAATTCCATGTTCAAGGCAGTACAGTTCCCAGCAGGCATTGCCGATCTGGACACCTGCCTGCCCCACGTGGATAGAGATGCACTCGCGCTGGGGACCAGAACATAAGCATTGAGACTCCCTTGTCTTCAAGGCAATGAATACTATGTGGCATGCAAAACATAATACATGTATGTATTTCACTTTCTAAGGCTTTCACAAACCCTTCCCAGAAAGCTTATGCGATCCTTCTGTCCCTATGAATACAGGTGCTCTAAATCACTCTAGCTACTAAGTACTAGACTTAGCCCCTATACAAAGTGTTTCCTACCACTCATGTAATATTAGTAAACTCCACTTTATGGTTTTTTTTTAAATGAGACACAGAGAGAGAGAGAGAGAGAGAGAGAGGCAGAGACACAGGCAGAGGGAGAAGCAGGCTCCATGCAGTGAGCCTGATGTGGGACTCGATCCCCAGTCTCCAGGATCACGCCCTGGGCTGAACGTGGCACTAA